ATTTCCCTTGGATTGTCAAAGAGTTCGTTCTAATATAGTGTTCGGAAAAGACCCGGGAAGCTCGCCCTTCATACCGTTTTCTACCACAATGAACCGGAGCCCTACCCAATTCGTGGCTTTCTTCCGAATATGGTGAAACCTGCACATCCGATTCGCCCTATCCCAAGCAAGAAAATTTTAAATGAACTCCAATAACGAAAATTGTCCCGTAGAAGTGATGCCATGTTTGAACGTACTTATCATCAGTAATAACAAGGTCGCCGGCTTGAAGCTCTTCTTTGCTCGCTTGAGAAAGTAATCCAGGTCAGGTTCAAGCTCATCACTCTCGTAGCATGGAATAGTCAGTTATTGGCAGGACCATAGACGAAAACTGAAGTAGTCCGTAAACCACCACCTTGAGGTAATCCTTCGTTTCATCCAGAAATGTGAAATACAGGGAGCAGAAAGGTTATTACCCCTCCCAGAGTCAGAGATCAAGCAGGCATAGTAAAGGGATGCAATGTAAAGCAAAGTGGTTATGATGAGGGTAAAGTGGACACTGTAAAAACTAATATAAAACAAGACAAATATAAACGACGTGTAGAGCAACATTCTGTAATGTAGTGGATACAGTGACAGGTAACATGACGCTAAAGGTCTATTGTAGTGAGAGAGGAGTGTTGTGCTGAGGTATGTATCATCGAACACTCCGCACATCCTTTCTTGAGATCGTTCCGCAAAAAACGGCACCCTCCATCATTAACCCGGGCCATTTCTGGTCGAGCCTGGTTCCATGAGAATCAAGAAGAAACCTCCGTTTCAGAGAGAGCTCTCCATCCTAAAGGAATTGAAGAACGCTAACGCCATGCGCTGTCCCCGCCTTGTCGACAGCGGTAGAATATGTGAAAGATCTTTCATAGGTGAGAGCTGTTTTCTTAGCTGTTCGACTCGGTTTCAAGTTTACGTATTCTGTGCTCTTGCAGTGATGACTTTACTGGACAGAAATTTGGAAAAACTCAAGGAGAATTTGAGGGGTTTCTTCCGGCCCACATCTGTCTATCACTTGGCTGCGGAGGCTCTTTCAGCAATAGAGGTATCATTACTGTAATTTCTCACAGCAACCTCTGAAGTTATCAAAATGAGCCAAAAGTTAATGCCAATTTGACTTCGATTTTCAAAATTTTATAACTTTCTTTAGAACATTTTTATTCAGTGCCATATTTGCCACAGCTGTCTACAATTGTCTACCATCTATATTCGAGTGCACAGATATTTTTCTGTCAGGACTACCCAGTCTTCCACACAGGAAATTACTGAACGTTCTTCTTGAAGGCAAGCCCCGGGATAAAACCGGTGATAAGAGCGCTTCGTAATGATGACTGAGCTGCGGACGGCCTGAAAGTGGAAAGGAAAGCTAGAAATTAAAGAAATCTTTGGAATCGCTGGGTGGGAAGGCGTTGCGACGGGGGTCGATGGTTGCAGGCCCGTAAGA